GGCTACAAAGTAATATGGTAAAGCCTGAGAAATAGAAAAAGTCCAATTTTTTATGGGATTAAATGAAAACTTTTCTACTTTGCGCTCTCAAATTTTGAATATGGAACCATTACCCTTTTTGAATAATGTGTATGCCATGGCTACAAAAGAAGAGAAACAAGCAGTAGCTGCTTCTTAGGGATCAACAATTGAAGCAATAGCCCTAGCGGCAAAGACAAGCATCCATGGTTGGCCAACTTATTTTGGAAAACTACGTTGTGATCACTATAAGAAAGTGGGGCACACTAAAGAAAGCTGCTTTGAAATCATTGGCTACCTTGCACACTGGAAACCTATAGGCAGTAAAGGAAAAGGTAGAGGTGATGGGCAAAGAAATCAAAGCTAAGAAAAGGAATTAATCTTTGCAGCCAACGTAAGCCAAGACTCAACAGGCATGGGAGGTGCATCGAGCTAATCTCCAATATCCAGATTGTTCAAGGAGTAGTATGATCAACTCCTCAAACTTCTTGGTGGTAATTTAGTCACTAATCATTTGGCAAACTTGGCTAGTAAGATGCAAATTACATCCTCTTCTTGGATTATTGATAGTGGAGCATCGGACCATATGACACCAAATTTATCTAGACTTACTAAAGCCAAGCCTTATACCTTCCCAGTCCACATACCAAATGGATCCTCATTAGAAGTTTCTCACATAAGGAAAGCCATGTTGAGTCATAATCTCACCTTGGAAAATGTCCTTTGTGTTCCACAATTTGCTTGCAACCTCTTATTTGTTAGCAAAATCACTAAGTAATTTAATTGTGTCGTTATATTTTTTCTTGATTTTTGTGTTTTTTAGGACCTTACCTTGAAGAGGTTAATTGGAATGGGTAAACTATATGAAGGGATCCATTATTGTGATTTTGGGCATATTGCAACAGCTAGTCAAATAAAGCGGAAAGAAAGCATGTCTTTCAAAGTGTGGCATAAAAGGCTCAGTCACATTTCTTTAGATAGATTACCCAAAATCCTTTCCTTATGTCCTTGTCCCTCTAACAATAAGCATGTTTGTGATGTTGGTCACAAAGCTAAACAAACAAGATAACCATTTCCTATTAGTAAAAATGTTTCTAATTGTATATTTGCTTTAATCCATTGTGATATTTGGGGTAGACATGCTACATCTTCTTTTACTAGTGCATATTATTTTTTACTAGCGTAGATGATTTTTCTCATTGCACATGGGTTTACCTTTTAAAACACAAGTTTGAAGCAGCTTTATATTTAGTGAATGTTTGTAACATGGTTGATACTCAATTTGAAACTCATGTTCAACAGATATGCAGTGATAATGGGAAGGAATTCATTGAGGGACTTGTGAAAGATTTTTGTCAAAAAAAAGAGAATCTTGCAACAAACATAATATGTCAACACAGCACAACAAATGGGGTAGTTGAATGTAAGCATCGCCATTCGCTTGAGATGGCACAAGCTTTATGTTTTCAAGCCAACCTACCACTAAAATTTTGGGGTGAGTGCATACTTACAACCACTTATTTGATTAATTAACCCCTACTCCAGTTCTTTTCGAACTTACTCCCTTGGAAAAGCTTTTTCAAAAGGCACTATGCTATGATCATTTAAGAGTTTTTGGATGTCTTTGTTATGCTCATAATCATTCTAAAGATTGTCCTAAATTTGATTCTAAAGCATCAAAATGTGTCTTCATTAGTTACCCTTTTGGAAAATGTGGTTATAGATTGTATAATCTTGAAAATAATCAAATTTTTATTTCTAGATCTGCCATTTGTCATGAAGAGATTTTTCCATACAAGACACCCAAGGCACATGAACAAACCTTGGCATTATCTAATCCAAGTGCTAGAGACTCATTATTTGAAGAACCATCCTTAATGGATAAAGTTGTTGACAAAACAACAAAAGAATCTCAATCCTAAAAAAATGTTGAAATAACATTGGGTGAGAGTCCTAAGCCTATGGACAACAATATGCAATCCACAACCCAGTTGGAGTCTACCACTGATCTTGCTGCCCAACCATTGCAACTTGTAAGGCCATAGTGTGAACGACATGCACCTAAATGCCTTGAGGATTTCATTTGCGACATGCCCCGATTAGTTGATCCTAGGCAAACTCTATTCCATTCGACAATTCATGTATACTCTATCCTATATCTAACCATCTATCATATGAATCTTTCTCACCTAATCATATAGCCTTTCTTGTGACCATCACTTCCAACCATGAGCGTTGTTTATTTTTGCTGGCCATTAAGAATGAAAAGTGGAAAGAAGCACTGAAGAAAGAGATCATTGCCCCTGAGGAGAATGGCACTTGGACACTTAAGCCTTTACCTCTTGATAAACGAGCTATTGATTTGAAATGGGTCTACAAGATTAAGTTCAAACCATATGGTTCAATCGAACGCTATAAAGTAAGACTTGTGGCTAAAGGTTTTACACAAATTGAAGGCTTGGACTACCATGAAACATTCGCCCCTGTTGCAAAGTTGGTAATTGTAAGAGTAGTTTTGGCACTTGCTTCCAGGTGCTAAGAACTACATCAACTTGATGTGAACAATGCTTTTTTGCAAGTTGATTTGCAAGAGGATGTTTACATGAAAAGTCCACAAGGATTTACCTGTTGGAATAGTAACATAATGTGTCGATTACGGAAGTCACTCTATGGACTAAAATAGGCCTTTCACAATTGGTTTGAGAAGTACACCAACTATCTAAAGGTTGCATGTTTTGTTTAATCACTTGTTGATTATTCACTCTTTACCTCTACTCATAATCATAGCTTCATTGTAGTTTTAATATATGTGGACAACATCATTATCATTGTCAATGATACCACAAGAATTAATGTTCTGAAGAAGTATCTGCACACAAAGTTCTTCATAAAAGATCTTGGACCTTTGAAATACTTCCTTGGAATTGAGGTGGCATGTACCACTGGAGGAAATGTCTTAAGTCAAAGAAAATATGCCCTTGACATCCTCATTGAAATAAGGACTATTGTAGCTCGGCCAAAGCCCTTTTCTTATGGAGCAGCATCACCAATTACACCTTGCCACAAGCCCCCTTTTTTTGAATCCTGCCCAATATTGAAGATTAGTGGGGCATCTCTTATATTTGACAATCACAAGACCAAACATTTGTTATTCTATGAGCATACTTACACAATTTATGCAAAACCCGAGGCAAGAGCATCATGAAGTAGCCATGAGAGTATTATGATACATCAAGTCCTCACCTAGACAGGGTATTCTCTTACTCTCTACAAGTCCAATACACCTTACGGCTTATTATGATGCTAATTGGGCAGGATGCCCCATTACCAGACATTCCATAATTAGTATTTTATTTGTCTTGGCAACTCACCCATTTCATGGAAATCCAAGAAGCAAGCAACAATTTCTAGGTTTTCTGTAGAGGTTGAATATAAAGCAATGTCAATGATTGTGAGTGAATTGATATGTTTTAAATTCTTGCTTTGTGATCTTGGAATATATCTACGACAACCTATAACATTGTTCTGTGACAATCAAGTGGCCTTACATATAGCTACTAATCCAGTCTTCCATGAGCGAACCAGACATATTGAAATAGATTACCACTTTGTTCGTGAAAGAATACAGAGGAAAGAACTCCTTACCAATCATGTTTCGTCTCGACAACAAACAACAGATATGTTTACTATGGCCTTGGGGCATGAACGTTTCTCCTTGCTTCTATCCAAGTTGGGCATTCGAGATCTTCATGCTCCAACTTGAGGGGAAGTATAAGGCGATAATCAACAAAGAAACAATCAAAGGAATAATAATTGAGGAATATTATTAGTAATTGCACAGATTGTATCATATTGTTTTCCCATATTGACTTGACTTTTCTATTTGCTTGAGTTTAGGCTAAATATTAGTCATTAGTCTGTTATAAAGATTGTGCACTGTACACCCTATTTACTCAATCAATTAAATCTTTGCATATTCTTCTATCACTACATAAAAATTATCATAAACCCACCCCACCCCTACCCTATCATACCCAAATAATGAGAGTTACATTACACTACATTTTATGTGCAAGTCTATTCATCCATAACATATTCCATTTTTTTAAATATATTATATGGAATAAGCAATAGGCAACAACTATTTTGTTATTGTTAGTCTCAAATTGGGTATCTGAAACACTCTTTTTTGTACACATGGGCCTAAGGGGCCTGGAGAGAATGAGCCCACCACAAAGCAAAAATAAGTTCATTTCTGTTCTGAGCTCCCAAGCAAGGAGGTGCTGTGTGGAGATTGGATTTCGATTTTGAGAGTCTCTCTCTCTCTCTCTCTCTTTCTGCTCTCTATTGCAATCAATTACTCTCCTATCTCTCTGACTCTTTCTCCATCTTGCCGTAAGTCTTTCAATTGCAATTGGACAATTGTTGATGCTAAATTGGTAAAACATTTTGTTCTTCTTCGCACACTATTTATCTTCTCGTGCCCTCACCTGAGCCAACATTATTGGGTTGGGTTGGATTGGGCTGGGTAAATCACTAGCAGCTTAAATATACTGCAATCTTATTGCCTCTTTTTTTTTTTGAAGGGGGTACAAATAAGGGGGTGGGGGTTCGATCCCAGTCCTTAAGCTGGGGGGAGTAGCCTTGTATTCCTTACTAGAAGTATATATTTTTGTATAG